TTTGTTATTGATTGTAGAAGTCATTTCTTTAATCCTTCATTTTAAAAGACGAATAGTCTAATATTTTCTTTTTCTTATTCGCGTTATATAACCTTGATGCTATGGACAGGAACAGCAGCAAAAAAGAACATACTGATCCATAATAACGCTGACGAGAGAAGAAGACTATGTATGAGAAAATGTATTTATTACATGATGCGTAGAGAGAGTGAGAGAAAAAAACATGTATACTTAAATATATTTATTTCGTTACTTTTTCAGGTGTATGTCTGTTGCATGATTTCAATTTTTAATAATAAAAAAAAAGTTTCTTACCCGCTTCCTTTACTCAACAAAAGCAATCGTACGTGTTTTCGTCAATATATAAGGGCATTTTTCTTCTTTTTTTTCTTCTTCTTATTTCATAAATGTCCTCCACACACACTGAGGATTTGACAACGCACTGTGTTAGAAAGTATTAGATTATTTACCAACACTCATTCATTCACTCACTCACTCATTATCATTTTGTTTGCATTGATTACATACGTCAAAACATTTTTCAGTATAAAAAAGAAAATAGAAAGAAATTGTTTTTCATTGACAGAAGTTAACCTGGAAGCATTTTGATGTGTGACAAATGTGGATGAGTCAGATTAAAATTGCTTAGTCATTGTCGTTTCTCAAGACAGAAAAAGAACCGGAACACAGAATAAGTAATAAAATAGTCTTCTATAACAACCATAAGGTATTTGCTAAGGTGAGAGGCTTTTTTTCAGTGTTTTATTAAAATGAAGTAAATAGACAGACATATTTGACACGGTTATCATACAACAAAAACAATGCATTCTTGAAAAGAGAAGAATACGGTTCGCAACAGAAACATGTAAGTTGAATAATTCTGGAAGAAACATCTAGAGTCTCTGTAGCTGTGATAGTTAAGAAAACACTTATTACTGCCAGATTATCCGTCCACATATTGTGTTAAGATAAAACCTGAAGGAAGCAAACCGGATTGAGTATCCGTATTACATGTCACGTTTAAAGCGATCATCTTGCTATAGAAGATTGGGTGATTCATCTACAAAAACATAGAGTTGCTTTATATCAAGAAATTGACACTTCCCGTCTATTATCGTATGATATGCGTAAAATTGTTTATGTAATATATTTTCAACCTTCACTAACTATCCGAGGGTACAATCGAATAAGTAAGACGCTATGTTTGATATAGAAAAAACCTCAACTTCTATGTGTTCAATAATGTTTGCATAACGAATTAGTATAAACGTAGTACTTCATGGCCAGAGGAAATATATTGAAGAGTAATAGTCACAAAAATTGTTGTGAACATGTCGATTGACAAGAGAAGAAGAAGAACAGTAACTTATTATGTACATAAGCAATATTAAAAAAGTTAAAAATAGAACTGTAGCGAAGTTTTTCATTGTACTGCACGTTTCTAATAACATTATACTGGTTAGTGAAATCGATGCACTACTCTAAAATGTCAGACTGCCATATTACACAAATGATTTATTAAAGGAGCTTTTTTATCGTTTTCATTCTATGAGAAATGTATTAACTTATCTATGCGCTTTTATCTTTCTCAATCAAAACAATCGTAGTGACGTACTTGTCTGTAAGTCAAACGGATCGAGGTAGTCTAACATTTTTGATCAAATGTTCTGGCTTAATCCGACATTTTATACTAGGAGGATAAAAAATTATAACATTTCTGGAATTATAATACTGATCATAGTTATAGATCTGTTGTAGATAATAACCTACTGTAACATATATTCTTCCATTAAAATCTACAATCGAATATCATATCAAAATAAACATGATGTATGTTTGTCCCACGCAAAAGCAATCGTCAAAATATTGTTCCTTCCACTTGAAAAAATCAATACAGCTGCACGCAGAACGTAACAAACAGTGTATCTATCTGTTTTATGTTATAGTTTTTTGGGCGTGTAGAAATAATTTTTACTTTTTTTTTTCTCTTTTTCACACTACACCGTACAAGCTGTCAAAAACAATATTTTTTTACTTGAAATCAGAGATGTGTGTGTGTGTGTGTGTGTGAAAAGCGGTTAATAGTAAATGAGATAAACGAGGGGAATTTATATTCTTGACAATTGGGTTTGGGGAGTTACGCGATCATACATGCGATCTTGATGTTCAAGCTCTATAAAATTAATTTTGTTTTTTTTTGCTGACTCGTTACTCATGTGCATCTAAAGTTGTTTTTGCGTGGTCGTCTCGAATATGTAAGAATAAGAGAAAAAACTTTGTATGATTAATAAATCATTGATTCTGTTTCATTTCAGAATAGTAAGCCAGAATGAACCACGATGATCACTTGAAGTCAAATTAAAAACACCAGTAACAACAGCATACTGTAAATTCCATAAAAGCATAAAAAAAATCAGTAAGTTATATTTCAAAATATTAGTTATGAGCGAATTAGTCATAGTTTCTATTTAAAGGTAGGAAAAGGAAGAGGATTAGGTTTGGGGAGGCAGTCGATTAAGATTAGGCTAATGACGCTCAGCACTGTAGGAGGAATATCCTACTTGATGACTCCTGTTCCAGTATAGAGTACTGAATACTTGTGCAAGTTCGCGTGGCTTACTATCCATCCTCCCTACAATTCTTAATCTTCGACGGTTATCGACGCTTCACCGGTTATCCATCTGCAATTCTAATCAAAAGACTAGCCTAACTCAAAGTTTTCCAAGTGTACGACTTCTTCTATACACATTTACAAGTCACTTATAAACTTTTTCACTTATAAACTCAAGGAATTATATTGTGCATCAAAACGTAGCATTATGCTATTAGATGGATGATCTAAGACATTTAAACATGAGTAACATGTTGACAACGCCGACGTTCTTTTTAAGTTCCAGTTTCCTATCTATAGTATTGTACGTTGTTTTTCGAATACAGCAGTGTAGATGGGAGTCAAATTGTCAGAAGTAGTTCAGCTTAACTGTATAACTTGTTTATGTACGAAAATAATTGTTAAATGAATCAAGTAGTGAATACTGTTCGAGTCTCAATTATGCGACATGAAAATCAGAAAGATACATTTATGATCTTCTAAAGAATAACTATATGAAGACGCCTATTAGCACAGACACAGTATAATTGTTATTGTATTATATAGTAATTGGCAGTATTATTCTCACACATTTTGTTTGTAAAGTTTGTATAAATATACTTTACTTTTAATAGAAATTGTAAAGTAGAAAGAAGTAAAGGTGGTAAAATAAATACTCATTTATTTTACAATATGGAGTTTCTTGGTCATTGCTCTGAAACAATATATGATAAATTAAAAAAAGAAAATAGTTTAGTTGAGCGTGAAAACGCTATTCTCTTCTCTATAGTATCGTTTGACAGTTATCACTCGTTCAGTGTCATAAAAATGATCAAAATATAAAACGAACGATGTTCTAGTTAAACTCAATTTTATTATCTCACATATACGAGATAGAAAGATGATTAGTTTGGTGACAGTTTTGTTAGAAACATTATCATGGTGGAAGTGGAAATATAGTGATTGTAAGTATACGAATGTTCAACCAATGAACTGACAAACTGTTTATCCGATACTAACTGAAGAGAAACAAAAGCTATGAGCTTAGATAAGAAAATAGATCGTAACAGTGTTAAAAAACCATTGAAAGAAGAAGTTGTTAGTTTAGATGACCATCTATTATTACATTCATTTGTCGGATTATTTATCCTTTGATGGTTATTCATTGTAGTTTATAATTCTCTGTAATTATATCCCATCTTGGTAATCATTCACAAAGCTGGTCAATATACAGAGGATTTATTATGCAATACTTTTGTCAATTAAAATTACCAACATATACTTTTCATTATTAGTTAGTAATTAGATCCTGTTCTTGCTACATCTTTCTTTTCTATAATCTTCCAACTCTCGTATATCACTTAATTCGTTCAAATCACATAACAAAATTTTTATGATTAAAAAGCAAGTGCGTTTGTCTATACACAGTTTCATCTGTTATACAGACAGAAAGCGAGAGAGAGAGAGAGTGTAGTGTTGAATGAACAAAGTATGATATACTATGATAAAATAAAAAAACTGAACCCTTTCGTCTTCTTCTGCTATATTCTAATGAGAGAGAAAGAGAGAAAGACACAATGAAAGAAAGTATCATAATTTTTGTACAAAATTTTAAAACAAACTTGGCTGTATGTAGCAGAAAACTGTGATACAGCAGAATAAGAAAAACAAAGAAAAGAAAGAACAAACGAACAGAAAAAAGACGAGAATGAATAACTATAACGAAGTTTCAAATTTATTAGTATATAGTATACGTTTTCATTTTTGTCAACATATATATATATATTGAAATGTCTAAGTAATGGTACAATAAGAAGTTGTAGATCTTTAAAAGAATAAGATGTGTTGTTGAAAAAATAGGAAAGGAGAAAATTGAGTGGGTAATTGGCCGTACAATAGACAGTCTTCAAACAAAATGATGACTTCCAGTGAAACATAATAATACAAATGGGGTACGTTGAAGTAACATCATTATAATTATTATTCATTAAAACATCCGTTGCCAAATATAATACATATTGTTAGTTATGAGACACATATTCTTCCTTCCTAGTTAATATATCCGTTTGTGAGACATGACATATATTTCTGCTAGATGCCTATTATTACGGTCAAACAAGTGCAGTGTCGTGTATTCATAATAATTTCTAAAACTTTATACAGTTTTATGACATAATGTTCAAATATCTTACCATAGCGAAGAGAATAGAAAATGTTAGAACAGATGTTCTTATTTTTCACAATGAACAAAAAGACAAGTTTAGAATAATCGAGATTTCACCATGACTATGGATACATTCTACCATTCTATTTATTAATAAGTCTGGTAACTCGATTGATTTCCCTAAACGTCTGTTATTATATAAAACTATTATAACTTAACTAGTTCTATTTTTCTTTTGTAGCAAATATGGTGCTCAAAACAGATAATAATCCTACCAATTTGGTTGTTGATCCAAATTCAAAGTTTTTAGAAATGAAATCAGTTCAACCATATAATTCAACAGACGAATATTTATATGCCATGAAAGAAGATCTTGCTGAATGGATAAGTTCAATGTATAATGAATCAATAACGGCTAATAATTTTATTGAATGTTTAGGTAAGAGACTATTGTTTTTATCGTGTTTATATAAAAATGAAGTCGACTATAGAAAATGAATTTTCTTTATGTTAAAATAACCGTAACAAAAGATATGAGAAGTAAACTTTATGTAGACATCACACTTAAATTTAAATAATCGTTATAATATGCCTTTAAGTAAAAAAAATACATTTAACGACAACGACGACATACTACTAGTATCTCGAAACCAATTCGATCATATGCTTAACATAACATACGAAACTAATAAGTAAATGTAGACAACCTGTCTATAGTTAGTTTTCAATGTAGACATGTCGAAAAATAAAAATAGAAAAGAGACAAATATATGGTTGAGTATTAGATATATAAATACCTAGTCACAGATGAATATTACTTTTTAATAGTTTCACTTTAAAAATAGATAATTTGGTTTAATATAAAGTTTGTTTTTAAACAATAATACGTACAATGTGGGTTATGAAAGGTAGATTTTGTATTTTCTTTTTTAGAGAATGGTGTATTATTGTGTAAGCATGCCAATAATGTAAATGAAGCAGCACGTAATGCTTTGAAATTAAAATTAGTTGATCGTTATAGTACAATAATAACAAACGAAAATTGTATCTATCGTGAGAATAGTCGCGCACAGACATTTAATGCAAGAGACAATGTATCAAATTTTATCAAATGGTGTAGAAAAGTTGGCGTTCGTGAAGTTTTAATGTTTGAATCAGATGATTTAATATTAAGAAAAAACGAAAAAAATTTTTTATTTTGTCTATTAGAAATTGCTCGTTACGGTGCAAAATTTGGTGTTAGCGTACCAAATATTATCAAATTAGAAGAAGAAATTGAAAAAGAAATTCAACGCGATAAACAAGAGGAGATAATGAGTTTTACAGAACTGCAACGTTTACAACGTTCGATGAAAAAACACAGTAGCGGAAGTATTAAAACAAGTCATAAATATAATAAACTTTTAAATTTTGTACGAAATGAATATCAAAATGACAGTAATACGACAAATGAAACGTCACCGCCATCGCCAACATTAACGACACAAATCTCTCCTACTGATGATATATACTCGATTAAAACAACGCTCATCGCATCGGATAATATTGATTCTAATGGTATTCAAACGAATTCATCCTCCTTACCGTCGGCCACGCTACCAAAATCGAACAATTATAATACCTTCTCATTGACTCATTCGAATGGTGCTAGTTGGCTAAGATCAAAAATTCCAAAATTTTCAAAAAGACGTCGTAGCAGTGAAGAAAGTAATGGTAGTAGTTCGAATACCATCACATCGGTTGGAACAGATACAACTATTGTACAAAGTAGAACGCTGGGTGAAAGTTATGATACGGGTACGTCCAATACAACAGAAATCACTACACCAACATCACAGTTACACAAAACGGTAAGAAATTTACAAAAAATAAATAACATTTATGAATAACATTTATTGAAAGTTTTTATTAGGAACTTTTGTTTAATCTTCTTAAAATAGGTGTGTAAAATGACAAATGCATGTTGCTGCTCTCAGAAATTTCCTGTTATTCAGATCGGTGAAGGAAAATATCGAATTGGTCAAAGTGGAACCATTGTTTTTATACGAGTGAGTAGTGAACTATAAAAATGCTTCAAACGTAAACACCTTGCTTGTTGTTGTAGATTTTACGATATCACGTTATGGTACGAGTGGGCGGAGGATGGGATACACTAGAAAATTATTTAAATAAACATGATCCTTGCCGTTGTATCGGTATGATATGTTTCAAACGAAGACCACACCTATTGACATTTGTATTGTTTCTTTAGGTCATCGACGAATAGAATCACAATGTGAACACAGTGAAACCCCGATCATGGCTGTACCGACTACTATGAAACTGAATGCAACAAAAACATCGGGTGGACACACAGTTGCTCTTCGTACAGAAGAATTTCCACTTCGTCCAACAAATGCTAGCAGTGATTTACGAGATGCTGAACTAGTTATCACGCGAGATGCTGATGGTCGCCATCGAATCGGACAAATTGTTTACAAATTTGAAGATGACCTTGTAGAATCGAAAAATGATCATTCAGAGAAATGTCAACATTCTCACACTCATCAGTACACTCCAACGAAAGAGATCACACCAACCAAAATAAAAGGTTTAAGTGCAAGAGGTACAGGAATCGAATCTGCATTAAATTACAACAAACAGACAACAACATCTGAGAGCACAATTTCACCACTAAAACCCGTACAAAACGAAGAAACAGTTATACCACGTCCAACAGAGAATCAAAGAGAAACTAATGAGATACCACAAAGTAAAACAGTGTCAAATAATGTAAAATCCAGCAATGGTAGGACGTCAGATATTAATTCAGTTGATAATAATAAAACAAAATTTTCGGATAAAAATCGTCGAGATTCTTCTGTCAAAAAAGCAATTCCCAATAATAAATCATTTGTGCGAAATCCGTCTCCTCCTACTAACACTGTTACGAAAGTGCCGAAGCCGATTATTAAAGAAAAAGATCACTATTCACGTCGTCGTACAGAACCAATAAATAATGTACCGCCATTGATCAAAAAGGGTATAGTTCAAAATCGATAATAGAGTGAATTATATTTCTCTCATTGCTTTAGATAATCGATATTCCGAACAGAAACAAATGGAAACGATAGAGAATACTGATAGAACAGGTAAACGTTCGATAAAATTATACTCTAAAAAAGCGAATACCACTCAATGCGTCACTGAACATCCGAAAATATCTATAACCGATTATGATACAGGCAGCACACAATATATCAATGATACTGATGTTATTATTGAAATGACGAGACCACGTTTACCACATTATTTTCAATCCGATGAATCTTATCAACGTATAATTAAATATTACGGTGACGAAGGTGGAAATCGCTCTGGTAATATTCCATTGGACGACAATTCATGTCATTTGGATAAACCAGTTGAAGATACAAATTGTCGTGCAAGTTATTCGCCACCAAGTTCTCCTGAATCGAAAAAACTAACATTTGACAAATTCAATAAAAACGGTATAACACAAGATAAATGTGATGTATTGAATGCATTCGATCCGGTCGAAAAACAACAACAAGTTCTAAAACAACAACGTATAACAGAATCAATCATCTATAATATAGACGGCTTTACTCAAGCGCAACAAAATGATTTTGATTTGAACGATATTGAAGATGCAATGATTGAAATTAAACAAAAGCAGAAGGTAAGTAGTCGCCTTAATACTCAGAATTACATTGATGAGACGATGTATCTTGATTGTACACACATTTTATTGTTATTTTAGACTGACTTGCACGATGATAATAATAATATGGACGAAGACAGCTTAGAGAGTTGTGAAGGTGTAATTGATGACAAAGTAAACAATGAGGAATCCAAAACCCTCACGGAACTATTCGTAGAGCAAAAACAAAAACATGTACAATCTCAAAAACGAACATCTATACCAAAAACGAACGCAAATAAACCTTTTCATACAACATTAACTTATTCTCGATCAAGTACAATGCCCGATGTGGTTGCGGCTGTAGAGGAAGAAAAAAATTCAAAGCGAAGAGGACGTCAGTCGTTTACCACAAACATAAGAAACAAGAAACGAAGTGATTCAGTCCACTCTAATGCTAGCCTTCGAACAACAGCAACACCCACAATAACGAATAAATCACCGCGTCTTTCACTCAGTGAACAGAGACGGCGTTGCCAGTCAACCGAAATACTCTCAAGTGAAACGAAAAATAATAATATGAAACATCGTTCAAATCATCTAGCGTATGATCGAGATTCGGGTTTTGACGAACAAGATTTTCGACGAGAACGATTACGTTCTGAAGATGATTCATCATCACTCATTAGTGGTGGTAGTACTTTTCGATTATCATACGGTGACGCTAAATATCGTGAAAATAAAGCGTATGAACTGCGTTTGAAAGCATTAGACTTTACAAAACTTTTGAACGAACAAACGGTTCATGAACCACGTTTACAGTCGTTACATAATAAACGAAATTATAATTATGCTGAAACAAAAGGCAGTGAAGTCATTTATGGGACAACGCCAAGAATACGTCTGAATGGAAAATATCATAAAAATGGTGATAATTATCTCACAATGAAAATGCTACAAAAGCACAACGACAACATTGATCAACCACCAGCAAATGAATTTTTTATAAATAGAAATAAATTTTATTCAGCAGACGACACGGACGGTGATGTTTTTTTGCAGGATACTACATCGTCTGCTAAATAATACGAGATCTCGTTTGTCTAATTCAAATAATTGTATTTTACAGTTGAATACATATCACTATGAAAGATAATTTTTATTCCATTTATATTTTATCTACTGGAAAATCTCATCGTACAGACATGTGTAAAGCGCGTGTAAGGGCAAATTTTTTAAGAAAAACGCGTCTGTACGATGAAATTTTCCAGTGGGTAGTTATTTTTTTTTTCAAATATGTCACAGTGATTTTTATATGCAAAACTTACGCCAGCTTTTCAAAATTTTCCACTAAACATTCCGTCAAAAAACAATTGTGAACTATAAAAAACGTTAGATATACGGTATTTTTTTTTCTTTTTCTGATGAATATTGTTGACTGTTATAACTAATTATTTTCTGTTTTGTACAGTTCATTTATGACATATTGTTCATAAAGACTTGATTTTATTCTCATCAAATTTGCACATTATCATGCAATGATATTACTCTTCAATATGAATAATCTTAGATTTTCTCTTCAAAACTTTTAAATAAAATGACATTTGGTGTGAAAGAGAGACTTACTGATGCACAGCATTTGAAGTAATGAAAGGTACATGATAAAAGTAATACAATAACTTCCATCTGACATCAGTTTTTTGTCACAAACTTTTAGAGAGTTCCAACTATTTAGTTCTATTTTATTGTCATACGGAAATCGACTTCAAGTAGTTCTTACGAGGGAAGGTCCCCAACTGTCCGACGGCTTTCGAGCCGAAACCTAGTGGACTATAGGTAGTCGACCATGCTGATTCCGAATATCAACATGAGACGTGCTGCTGGGCCTCCAGAGAGTGGTTTTCTGGAA